AAGGAACCCGGAAAGAGCAATCGCATGGGCACTTCTGTTCGTTGAAACTTCTAGACCAGGCATATTTGGCCCGAATCGACAATACCGATCGTCTCAACAGACATTTGAGGTTTAAGCCCGAAGGTGCAGTAATTTTATGTTGTCTAGAAGCATTTGATAGGTTTGCCAGAGTATTTCGATGTACCAGCGTACCATAGGCAGCGTTCAGACTTCGCGACGGCAGCTCTTCGGTCGCGCGTTCGACGCGATCGATGCAGTTGAAAGCATGCGCATCGATCGTCGGATCGCGCGACCGAAGCGCTGCTGTCGCGAAGTCTGAACGCTGCCATACATGTTAGCAGTATGGGCACAGCTAGGCTTCAGACGCACGACTTTGCGACGCGGCGTTTCCTCCAGCTCTCTGAAGAGCATTATCAGAACATTCTGTGAACCCACCTTAACTAAGAGCTTCTCTGGGAGTTCCTTATCCATAGGCTGCCAGTCCGGCTCAACGAGTACAATCCTAGACATGAAACTCTGAAATATTCAGTGGAAATGCTAAAACTAGAAGGGTTTCTTCTTTTAAGGATTCAGGTAGTGTAACAGTGAGTGACGGCCTTACAGAGTTCGGAGTTACTTCGAGTTCCAAATGAAATCCCGCTTGATACTGAAACGCCTTCCAGGCATTAAATGTTGGAGAACACTTCCAGTACGTGGAGGGAACGGTAGAATAAAACTGCGAGTTATATGGTGGCAAAATACCACTCCAATACCAGTACAATTGTGGATGGAAGTGCAATGCGTGACGACTTCCAAGGCAGACTTGGACAGGGCCAGATCATTCACTTTTTCTCTTTTAACTAAGTTTTTTCCTTTGATATCGTGGGGGTTGTCTCCTCATAAACACACTCATCTCTGGCCCGTGTCACAGCAAGGTGAATGGGTCCGCAGCGGCAGTAGCGTGACACTTTCTGCGCTCAAGGTGCACGGGAACAGATCTAGAGGCTATCTGCGTCGCCGAAATGCGCCTACTTATGTTACTTACAAAGGGACCAACACTTAAGGAACCAGATAACTTCGATTTTTATAAGTGCTCTACTAACGATTACCTTGTATTCTCCTATATCATCGACAGATACGTTAGCTCCAAACGACGCAGTGGTGTTTAGGGCTATTTGCATATCCTGTTCGATGTCCTCCAGTGTGACATGAGTACCGAACAGACCGTCTCCCGCTGTGTAGAGATTAGTCGTGCTCATGTTTCCTACAATACCAATCATATAGTTGAAGCCAGAGAGCCAGACAAAAAGACAGAGAAAACGCATCCAGACAAAGCCATACAGTAAAGCTAACA